CGGGGAGCGGCCGCCGCCGGAGCGCGGTTCGGTCGGAGCCTGGGGTGGCTCGTTTCTGCAGAGTGCTCCTCGGAGGGCGGTTTTGACATGACGGTTCGTCAGCTGAGGCAAGGTAATCCTCTGATCCGGGTGCGGGAGCGTTCGCGTCTCTGCCCTCTCCCCCTCGTTCTCTTTCTAAACTTAGCAGCTCCCCAGGTGAAGGAGGATCCGCCCGTCTTGCCGTACCTCGTACAAAAGCGCTGCCGCACAAGCGAACCTGCCGTGATCCCGAGTGGATTCGAACGCTGACTCTTTTGTAATCATTAACTTACGCTGTTAAGGGGAAAACAAAGTTAAATCTTGCGTGTAAATCAACTTTTTTTGGTTTTTTTTTTCTTGCTTTCTCAGGTCAGAACAGAGAGGCTGCAGCTCGTTATCAAAATGCAGTATTCCCACCACTGTGAGCACCTTTTAGAGAGACTGAACAAGCAGCGGGAAGCCGGCTTTCTTTGTGACTGCACCGTCGTCATCGGCGAATTCCAGTTCAAAGCACACAGGAACGTGCTCGCCTCTTTCAGCGAGTACTTCGGGGCGTTTTACAGGGATGCGTCTGACAATAACGTTGTTCTGGATCAGACTCAAGTAAAAGCTGATGGATTCCAAAAACTCCTGGAATTTATTTATACAGGAAGCTTAAACCTTGACAGGTAACAAACGCTATTAAAGGGGGAAAGAGAATGGGGAAATAAACGTTAAGGCAGCACTGGATTTTTTTTCCTCTTTGTGATGAGTTCTGGAGGAACAAATAGTAGTGGCTATGGCACGTAGGAACGAGCTGAAGATCATCTGTTTGTGTGTTTTTAAAATACCACATGATGTGTGAGGACCAAAACGAAGGTCTGTTGCCTGATATTTCACTGATTGATAGTTTCAGTCTCCCAGTCTTTCTGTCCAGACTGGAAGGGATTAAACACCCTGCGTGGTTACCAGGAGAGGGAAGGATAAGTGTATTCCTTCTGAAGTTGGATTATAGGAGTCCATTTTTGCAGAGAACAGGCAGAAACTGCGTACGCGGTAGAGACTAAAGCCTGAGGCGTGGATGGGGATGGGCACGATTTTAAAAAAATTATGTTTGTTGGAATTTGTGTGATCTGTTACTTAAAATGTTATATCGGAGTGCCCAAAAGGAGTCACAGAAAAAGCGTTCCACGCCCCTTACTGCATTGATTTCGTGCCCATTGTGGTGTTTCACGTACAGTGAGGGTTCTTTGCGGCGCTTTTCTCTCCGCAGAAGAAAGCGCTTATCCCTCCTGAGGGAAGCGGGACTGCTCAGGGGGTAGTCCAGGGTTTTTACCCCTTTCTCAATGTCTGGCGTCAGATGCAGGTTTAGAAAACCTTTGTTCCTACTGAATCTGAAAACCCAGGCTCGATAATTTAAGTACACAGATGCAGGGTGGTTGGTTGGTTTTTCAAATGAGCTCCAAGCATTAACAGCCATGGAGAGGGCCCCGGGGCGGGGTCGATGCTTTGCAAATGCCGCGTGAGCAGAAGCGTGCAGCGTTCTTGATGTCTGGGACGGCGGCGGGAGAGTTTCTGGGTTACTCCTGAGCAGCTGAGATCTCTGAAGGAAGAGGAAGGTGAAAGTACCGTCCTCGCCCAGGGAGAACTATCCGACTAAAGATGGCACCTGCAGGTCTGCCCGTGTGCACCCGTCATCTCGTACTGTGTCCCTTTAGGTCGCTGTCTGCCGGTTCCGTTGTCTCCTGTGGTGGGGGGTGTGTGAGTGACACCAGGAGGGTGTACTTTGAACCGGGGGCTGGTGTCTTACAAGATACTACATCAGTCGTATTCGTGTACAGAGAGTAGCTGCGGCTCGTTACTTACTGTTTAATTACATGTACTGTGTCATAGACTGTTAGGATGACGTTGTTTACCATGAATCTCTCTTCAAAGTGCTGCAAATCCACAAGTGCGTTGATGGGACGCGTTGCCACCTTTTCCGGATCCGCTTTTTTCTAAACCATCAGGTTGCAGGAACTTAAAAGTAGAGCGTAGGAGTTCGAAGGAGGGCTTCCTTGGCGTTGGGGTCGCCCGCGCGCAGCTCCTGCCGGAGTTAAGGCCGTTTGCCAGTCGGTTTATAAAACAGGATTAACACCTGCCTCGCAGAGGTGCTGAGGTGAACGCGCCGCTCGCGAATTGCGTAAGGCTTTTGGCAGGAGGATTACTGAGCGGTCATTTATGCATTATATTCCCCAGTGTTTTATCCCTTCGTGCTGCCATGTCTGAGCTTTTCGGACCGACCACCCCGTCTGTAGCCTCACAGTTGGACTTTTACCTTAAAATTCTACAAAAGGCATGGAACTGAAAAGACAATTCTCAGTTCTGTGGGTCTGCAGACCCCACTAGACACGGGCCATCAGTCCAGGAGTAGCCGTCGTACTAGTGTCTTGGGGCGCTGCAGCACTAAGAGATTAGCTCTTGCTCTGTGTGTGCTCAAAGTCACGTTTTCTGTGTAACTTTTCGGAAGTCACATTTTCTGCCAGCGTAACTTTTCTGTAGCTCTGCTGTCTGTATTTGGTAAAGAACAAACCTTTGATTTGTCCAGAATATTGTCACCCAAGTCTTGTTTTCTTGCAGCTGGAATGTTAAAGAAATTCACCAGGCTGCCGACTATCTCAAAGTGGAAGAAGTGGTCACTAAATGCAAAATCAAGATGGAGGATTTTGCCTTTATTGCTAATCCCTCTTCTACAGAGACATCGAGTATCACTGGAAACGTTGAAATGAATCAGCAGACTTGCCTTCTGACTCTCCGTGATTACAATGATCAGGAGAAAGCCGACGCTGCTTCTGCCGAGTTGGTCCCACCGCAGGCAAAGAAAGCGGCTTTAGAAAAGAAATCTCCTCAACCCAAAAAGCGAAAGAAGAATTTCAGCTCCCCCAAGAGCCTCCAGAACAAATCCGTACAACACCAGAGCGAGGCGGCCGACAACCCATCCCTCGAGATGTTTTTAGACGCGAACAAGCTGGCCACCCAGATCACGGAACAGGCCGCCCAAGGCGGCGACAGCTCTGAGCTTCAGCTGGCGGCTGTGGTGGAAAGCGAAACGCTGGCGGCGCAGGACATCCTGGTTCAGACCCTGGCGGCCAAACAGCAGCGGGGAAAGCCGCAGCAGAGCTGCGCGCTGAAGGAGCGCTGCGTGGCCAACCTAGCCAGCGACAAGAGCACTTACCAGCTGGAAAGTTCGGGAGAAGAGCTGGACCAGAAGTTCTCCAAAGCGAAGCCGGTGTGCAACACCTGCGGGAAGGTCTTCTCAGAAGCCAGCAGCCTCCGGAGACACATGAGGATACACAAAGGCGTGAAACCGTACGTGTGCCAGCTCTGCGGGAAGGCATTCACCCAGTGCAACCAGTTGAAAACACATGTAAGGACTCACACAGGTAAGCCGCCGGCCTGGCCTTCACGGACTGTGGAGGCTGGAATCGCAGCCTGAAAAGATCTTTCCGTTCTGATTTCTTCTAGAAGTTTTGTCTGCTGCTGGCGTGCGTACGGGGATAGTGCCTATATCCTGGTAGCAGGAAATGTTTCGGCGTTTTTCAGTACAAAAATCGTAGTTTCTACTTTAAATATAGCCAGAGGGGACTTCTTAGTCTGAGCGTCTTAATTTCTGGAAAGACTCAAGAGCGGGCTGCCCTCTGTAGAGCGATGGAGTGCCAGAAACAGTTGACAGCAGAGCGTGAAAGTGTCACTGTACTTGGTACCCGAATTTCCGTAGCTTTTTATTTAAACTTCAAATCCTAATAGAGGTGTGATAATTCTATTTCCCCCCCCCTAAAAGTGGGGAAAAATGCAGTCTTGTGCCAAGCAGGTAACTTCTCCCATAGGGTCTTCAGAAAAGGCAGGGGGGGTGGCTGAATGACTACGGAATTTGGGATTTCATGTAGCAAAACGTGCAGCTGAAATGCACGACGGTGTTACGATCTCTGCATTCAGGAGCGTGACCAGAAGTTTGTGTTGTGTCAAGAGCTACTGAGCAAAGCATCAGAGGGGAATCAACTGTGAACACTTAAACGTTAAGACAACATGTCTGACTTAAAAGGTTTGTGAAGAGCAAATTGCTGGAGCCTGGGAAGACGTAGGGGAGAAGGGCTGTGCTTGTCTTTCCGGACGTTCTTCCTCAGAGATAGAAGACTCGGTGCCGGGTTAGTTCATTCCTCAGGCTCATCTGGCGCAGCGGTTCTGCTGTTGCTTTCGCTGCCGTACTTAGCCCAGTGGGCAGCAGAGGGACCCGGTTTGTGCAGGTTTCTTCCTTTTGTGGCTGGCATCCAGAATTCTGAAGTAACAGTAAATCAGATAAAAAATTGATTACTTTTTTTTTTTTTTTCCTCTTTGGAAAACTCCGAGCAGAGGCCAGCAGTGTAGCTCCTTCCAGGAAGCTGTGAAGGTGTAAAGTAGGAGGTGTGGGGGCCCAGCTGCAGGAGAACACCTTGGTCTTTCTGGAACCGAGGGCGAGCGCTGCCAACGTTGTCAGCCGCTGACTAACTGGAGATTCGTCTGTGAGACGGAGCTCGTGAGCGGCGTTCGGGGACGGTTTGCTCGTAGGAACTCTCTGCTTTTGTACTGGGAATTTTTGTACGAGTAGGTAGGGAATTTCACGGTGTTGGCTGCTGGACAGCAGGTTAGATGTCTAATACTTTTATTTTTGAAGTTTTCGTGTAAGTGTTATACTTCAGAATTGTTGAGTTCTTGGTTTGATTGTGCACTGCCACAGGAATGCAGAGATACTTTTATACTGTCACTTAAGACTGTAGAGTTTCATGATGCATTACATGGATCACGTTGACCGCTAAGAGAACAGGAATAGTCAGACCTGTAGCGTTCTACAGCAGATGCTAACGAGGAGCTAGTAAGCACTAAACTGTACGTTGAAGACCTGTTGCTGTTTGACAGGTAAGAGAAGGCAGCTGATTTACTCGGCGTTCATCTTAAACATTCAGAATCATGAATAGACATCACCAGCAAAAAGTCTGAAAATGCAGTGGTAGCATTCTTAAAATAATGTGGGGAAAACGGCACTGTTAAAAATATTACTATCTTTTTTCCCCAAAAAAGGTAGCGTGTTAAACCCCAGTCTGTTATCCTCTGTATTCCTGGCACGTTCCACTTCAGTGGACTGATTACAGGATGTTCCAAGACGTTATTTGTAAGACACCTGATCTTTGGTACTGGATTGGAAAGCTTTCTTACCGAAGCGCAGAGAGCCCCAAGGGTTTTATTTTTCACTAGGGGAGAAGCCATACAAGTGTGAACTGTGCGACAAAGGCTTTGCTCAGAAGTGCCAGTTGGTGTTCCACAGTCGGATGCACCACGGAGAAGAGAAACCGTACAAATGTGATGTCTGCAACCTGCAGTTCGCAACTTCCAGCAACCTGAAGATCCACGCCAGGTAGGCAGAAGTGAGATCCTGCAAATGCTTGTGTTTAAATAAAGAGAGTCATTTACTCCAGTGCGAGCAAGAGTTACACAGTCACGGGATTTGGTCGTTTCTGCTCCTTTTCTCGTGGGTCTTCTCTCAGGCCGCACGACAGAATAATCACATTTCTGTGCCTGCTCGTCAGGGAAGCGGTATGTGATTCGGGAATCGTGCAGCCGGCGCACTGGTATCCTCCCGGCAATGACGTTGTTTTGTTTTAAACTGCTTGTAGCGCCAAAGAGGAGAGAGCCCTTGGTGGGAAGCGAAACAGAACAGTTCTCACGCTTGCGCTGTCTTTTTGCATTTTTTGGCAGGAGCAGGAATTCTGTTCTGTTGTTGGGAATCCTCAGTTTATCTTGCAGTACTGCTGCAAAACCTATCGTTTTACCTAATGCAGAACATGCCGAGTTCTCATGGTGGTGCAGGGCCCGTAGTTCAGTTCGGCTGCTGTTGAAACCACGGATGTGCTGACACCCAGAGTCAAGAGACGGTGAATTTCACTCCAGGAGAAACTGCTGACTCGAAACCAAACAGTTTTTGTAGCTCACAGAACGTTAGCACAAGGAGCTTCGGGGAGAAAGTACTAATTGAGGGAAAATTATTTAATGGTGGGTGTGGCTTGCCTGCCTGCCAGCTCACTGGTGTCCGTGGGGGTTCGCAGGAAGCACAGCGGTGAGAAGCCCTACGTGTGCGACCGGTGCGGGCAGCGCTTCGCCCAGGCCAGCACGCTCACCTACCACGTGCGGCGCCACACCGGCGAGAAGCCGTACGTGTGCGACAGCTGTGGAAAAGCCTTTGCCGTCTCGAGTTCTCTCATCACCCACTCCCGAAAACACACAGGTGAGGGGAGGCAGAGCGCTGCGGGACCGGGGTGGGCCTGGCAGGGCAGGACTGGGGATGGGTAACGACCCGGAGATCTGCAGGCTGGGAGTTGGCTCTGGAGTTGTCACCCGGCTCCTTTCGCATGGTTCTTCCCTTTGACTCCAGTTTAGGGAGCTTGTTCTCCCATTGGACGTTACCTCTGTTTCATTTTGGTTTGTCCTTCATGTCTGTTTTGGTTTATATATTGAAATAACAAACTCCTTGTGTTTCCTTTAGGAGAGAAGCCATATATCTGTGGCATTTGTGAAAAGAGTTTTATTTCCTCTGGAGAGCTCAATAAACATTTTCGGTCCCATACAGGTCAGTTCCCAGACAGGCTGCTTCCTGCCCTGTAAATAATATTCTGCCTTTACCCTTTTGCCTTTAAAATACACTGTGTTGTGCTGTACTTGAAAGGAGCAGAGTTTCTTGATTTATGTATCTCTGGGTTAATATAATTTAAAGAAAATGCTTGTGAATTTTTTTATAATTGCCTTTTTCAGACTAATATCTGTGTAACAGCGTAGCTGTCGATGTGTGATCATGGCTTTACTCCTAACATTTGGGGGGTTTTGCTTTGTTTTAATCAATTATTTTGGAAACAATTTTATTCTGACTGCAGACACGCAGACAAAATAGCAGAGTTACAAAGCTGTATTTTAAAAGACAACATTGAAATCCATTATCCTACAGCTCTAACTGTGTTTTCTTTCAATTTCAAGGTGGTTCTAACTGCCAAACCAATTTTTTTCAGGTGAAAGACCATTTATCTGTGAAATGTGTGGAAATTCTTACACAGATATAAAAAATCTTAAGAAGCACAAAACAAAAGTTCACACAGGTGAGTTCCTTGTGCAAAGAAAGGTTAAGAAATTACATCAACTGTTTTGTCTGCGGTGCTGAATAACTTCCCCCCCCCGGCCCCACCCATCCATGCCTAAAATGAGGGGAAAAAAAAAAAAAACCACCAAACTTTTTTGGATAGCAGCTCTGTTTACAGCCAAAAGCATCCACTTTAGAGGTACCCAGACCTTTTAAAGCACATGCTTTAAAGTAGATTCAAGACAAGTTTTCAAGCATTTGCATTGCTATAGCAAACACGTGTTGAGCAACATCGAAGTGGGCTGCTGCTGACAAGAGTTTCTGTATGTGAATATTTACTTTCTTGTCCTAGTAACTTGTGAGAGCTTCCCACGTGAAGGCGTAGTCTGAATTGTAGCAAGTTTTTTACCTCTTGTGAGTATGTCAAAGGAGTATGTCTTTACGAGGGTAGTAACTGAGGTGAACGAGGTGCACTGGTTCCGAGAATTACTTTACATCTTGAAGGCACAAATATTTTTAAGGTAACAGTGAAAGATTTCTTTATGTATGAAGTCAATGTTAATCCAAGTCTGAGCTGGATTAGCAAACCCACAAGATCAGGCAGCTGGCAAAATGTTCCCAGCTGCAAATACTGCTCTAAAAAGACTTTTCAAATACATTTGGAATTTCTGTTGAAAATCCTTTCCAATACATTTCGATTCCTCTTTTGATGAGGAAGAACTTTGACCTGTGTTACTTGCCTGTGGTACAAAGCCCAGAGGCGTTCAGGCAGCCAGCCTCTTGGCTCCCTACGCCTCGCTATCTGTCCATCCTTAAGTCTATTAACCATAATTCCCTTGCCTCTGTCATACGGAAGAAGGAATAATAGCTGTCTGTGTACGTCTGGATTGGGAGGGAGAGGAGGAGGAAACAAGAGCCCTACGCAGAGGCAACTTTGAATGTCAAAAGCTCGAGAAGCCCCATTTAGGAAGGCCCCAGCACAGCAGGAAGCCAGTGGAAGCGAGGGTGAGGTGAGAGCAGCAGCGAGCGGGGAGGGGGCCCAGCAGAGCCCGGGGGTGTGAGCTGGGAGAGCTGCCGAGGCAGGTGGGTTCTCGCAGAGGGACGGAAGGCCGGCAGGAACGCTTCCCCGCTGTGACCCCAGGCTTGGGAGCCCACTTGGAGAGAGGAAGGGGCAGACATCCTGTGTGGCTTAACCAGAAGGCCGTCCAAGAGCAGCAGCAGGCTGCAGTCAAACAGGAAGGCCGTGAGGAATCCGCTAACGGTGATTTCAGTTAATAGAAATTCATTTCTGAAGCGACTGGATAAAAACTGTCATGGGTCTGGCTGAAATGGAGTTAACAAATGCTTTCTTCACAAGTCGATAACGGATAAAGGATGTATTGTAGATTGCTATCTGGGTTAAAAGAGGATGCTTGGATGTGGCTGTGGTTCTTAGATTTCCCGGGGAGAAAATCTCAAGGAAACCTTCGTAATTACATTTTTTCCAAAGCTCCGTTGTTCACTGTGATGTGAAGGACTTGTTCCCTTCTGTACCGTGCCAAGCAGAGATCAAGTTGGAATGCATCATCCATCTAGTTGTCGTGCTGCAAGCAGCAGAGGAGGTGACTCTTGGTGCTTACATCATGTTCACAGCTCAGTCTGGCTTCGCCGCACGTTGAAGCCACTGATGGCCCAGCTGCCCAGGCAGCCTTTGACCCACCAAGTGTTTGTTTTGACAGTCATTTGAAAGGGAATTTGGAGCTTTTGAACATTTCTTTCCCTTTTTTTTTTTTTCTTTTTCTTTTTTTCCCCACCCAGGATCTGAGACTCCCCCTGATTCTACTGCACTGGATAATTCTTTCAACGAACAAGAATCCATTCAGAGTCAGAAAAGTCCCTTATCGGAGTCCATAGATGTGAAACCCTCCGAGATGTCTTTAGCACTTCCTCTTCCCATTGGGACTGAAGACCATCAGATGCTGCTTCCCGTGACAGGCAGTCAGTCTCCTTCATCAGAAACATTGCTAAGATCTGCTGTGACCGGGTATTCAGAACCTCAGTTCATTTTCTTGCAGCAGTTGTACTGACAGGGCAGCACGGAGCCATCGAGGCGATTTGGTGGTGAACTGGGGTACGTTTGGTAAGGTGAACACAAGCAAGCAAGCAGTCACACCTTTTTGAGTTGGACTTGGTCTGGCTTTTTCCTCTCTGTAAAGGCACTTGTAAGGCGTTTCCATTGTGCAGTGCTGTCTTTCGGGTTTTGTTGAATTGTGCTAATCTACAATCAAGTTCCTGTTTGCAATTAACGCTGATTTCCAGGAGACGATTCCTTTCCAGCAACACCTGCCTTAAGAATTCTCTGTTAAATACGTTGATGTATTTTGGAGATCTCCTCCCACGTTCCTTCTGATCTGATGGGTCACAATGTCATTTGAGAGCAGATATTTAAAGCCATATTTGATAGTTTTAAGAATATTAACCCAGAGGCGTAAGGGGAAAATCATAATTTGAATGTAGTAACAAGCTTGTCCTCCTGCATGCCAAGGTGATGGAATGGTCCACGATGGAAGGTAGGCCAGTGCTCTGCTGAGGGGCTTGCAGAGAATTACTGCGGTCCACCAGAAGTGGCCATCTTCAGTGGAAGCCTGACCAAAGGGAAAGAAAACTTTGTGTGTATTTTCCTGCCAAGGGAAGTAAAGGAGGATTGATATTTTTTTTTAATTTTATTTTTTTTTCTGGAGGTTCTAGAGGCATAGATACTACTGGGTATTCTTTCCAACAAGTCACAGCTCTTTGGTTGTTTTTTGTTTAAGTGAATCCAGCACTGTTGTATCTTGTCCCAGATTTATTTTTCACGTGCCCTAGTTTTGGCACAAACAGCAACATTTGCTCCAAAGGAGAGGTGGAAGATGCATGTTGTAGATGACACGGAAAGATGGATTGACTTCACTGTGGGGCGTGAATCGTGGCTTCATCATCCTTTTTACAGTAGTGCTTCTTGTGCTAGATGGTAGGTACAAGAGAGGAAAGAAATCCTGCCCTTCACTGTGAAAACGACAAGCGAACGCCACATGAGGGGGCATTAAGGAGGAATACAACAGAGCAGGCTGATACTCTTCCAGGCAAGGGTTTGTTAGAGTATGACAGATTTGTTTTAACTGAAGTATTGATGTATTGCTTTACGTCTCATGTCACTTGTCCGCAGTATCTGCACAAAACTGGTATCTAGCAACACCCAGGGAAAGGTGTGTTTTATTACTAGCAATGTACACTTTTTAAAAAGCAACATTTTTAGGGTCTTGGTAGGGTCATTAGTTAAAGACTGGTTGACAGTAGGAGTGCAGTACTTTTATACTCCATTTTGCCAGTTTGTGCCATTAACATAATGTAAGCATTATTTAAGTAATCATCAAATAGTAAGGAAACAGTCATAATACTGTACCAACAATGCATTTAAGGATATTACTTGTTGGTTATTTACTTGGTGCTAGCGTTTTATTTCCACTGATGCCTTGTGTCCGAACACTGATAAATAGAAGGGCGTAGGAGATACCTCTTAACTGATTCTGTTTTACATGGAGTAATCATTAATCTGCACCTTAATTAAACAGACTTATGAAAAATTTCTTGGAGGATTTCATTTAACTACTCTGCAAATGGTCCCTTGATTCCTGAGCATGACTATAGACTTATTTTCTTTTTTCTCTTCCTACATGTCTGTACTTGTAAATTAATAGACCTGTCGCTTCTTTGTGTTGATCATGTTGGATGTGGCATGTTGAAAACTCTGCTTCTTGACCATATTTTCTGCTTAAATATATGGCAAATTTGCTGACCGCAGACAGCAAGGACTACACCCATGTTCACCGGGAACGTTCTTAACGCAGACATCTCGCCCTCTGTCCACTGGAGCCAATTACTGCCATAGCTGCCGTATTTTCTTTGCTTACCTGTACTACAACATTTGTGAACAGCTGATGTCCTTCCTCATGCTGGCAGAGCACAATGGATGAAGTTCTCTGATTTTTTTTTTTTTGTTGTTGTTGTTTGGCACTTCCTCTTTTCCTCCCCACTTTTTTAGCTTCTGTTGTTGATGTAGCACCTGAAGGATTCCTCAGCCTTGCCGCTGAAGACTGAAGAACCACCAAGATTGGGATCTTGACTCTGTAAAAAGAAAAAAAAAAAAGGCAGACAAACACCAAACAACTCTGTGTAGCTTGTCCTAAGGTTCCTCTTTACTTTCTCTCTTTGAAAATAGAGTAGGAGTCTTGGGATAGGTGTAGGCTTAGTCGTGAATACTGAAAAAGAACAATAACGTACAACGCATCAATTTCATTGAATTAAACAGCTTTGGGAGACAAACTAGTGATATGCTGCTGTCATCTGAGGCAAAGTGTCTGAAGAGTAATATATCCAGGAGAAATGACCACAAGAGAGAAGTAGCTCTGGGAAAAAGAAAAAAAAATTACATTCCTACTTAGAAAATGCATTCCATACCAATGTTTGTTTGGACTGTTTTTATATTTCTAAAATTTTAGCTTATGACTGTATTGCTAGATTTCAGACTTTTTTAAAAAAAATACAGTGCTTAGATTTATACAGGATTTGTTTAGATACTTATAACAGTAACACTTGCTTTATTAGTCATTTAGTTTTCTTTATAGACAAGAAGATGATGATTATTTTTTACAAGACAACAATTTTAACCTTTCTTAATAGAATACACAGACTTGTAGTTTTGTCTTGGAGCAATAATTTAGTGACCTGCACTCTTGAGTCCCCACCTGAGAGTCTTGACTTTTATCCTCATCTTTCGTGAAGATATCTCGGCTGCTGAGGTATGATCTCCACGAACTGTATTCATTTACTAGACTATAGATTTTTAAATATATATATATATATATATACACATAAAAATATAAAAAAGGGTTTGTAGGCGTGTTCAGGCTGGGTGCTGTAGGACCTGAAGAAGCAGGTCTGTACTGTCCCTTTTGCCAATAGATGCGCAGAAATCAGCTGCACATCTAATTTCTAGGCTCAAGGATTCCGAGTTCATTTTGGAGGTACAAGGCTTATAACAGTATTGGTCATTTCTGTAAGGGATTAATATGGGGAAGCATGGAATTCTTTAGGCAGGTATCTCCTGCTTGAGACGCCTGCAAAAGGAGAGAGGGAATTTTAAGAATCCCATTAACAGTAATTTAGAGAACATGACACGATTTGTCACACTGTTTCAGGACAGTCTCAGTCAGTCTTGCACTGAAGTCGGTGCCAGTTTTGCCTGAACAGGTTATCTGCATCTAAAAATCTTTGGATTGGCTGTTTGGAAATACTTATGAGAATAGCTCCTTCTAATACACTTGCTTCCAAATGTGTGCCTACATGTGGGCACAAAGGATGACAACTGTTCTGAAACCATGATTTTCAAAACATTTTCAAGTATGGACAAGTCCCACGTTGAGGATTTCAGGGCTGGGACCTTGGAGAGGCTGTCGATAAGCCTTGCAGAATTAAGTTCAGATAAGGACTAATAACAGATTTTTTTTTGGTTAAATTATTTTTAAAGTCTCTTTCATGTATATACAATTTTTCCTCTGTTATTTGTGTATACCTCAACTCTCCATTTTATAATCCCCTGGGAAGGGAGGGAGTTGTACATATTTAGCCTGAAGTGTTTTATGTTAGACTTTAATAAACTTGTTTTGTAATTTTCCCTCACCTTGTGTCTCCTGTTTGTAACTGTAAGGGGTAGCAACAAAAGGAGGAGGGAAGCAGTCTAACATAACCACCATCCCAGCACCTGTCAGAGGGACGCACGGCAGCCCGTGGCGCAGCGCACTAACACAGCAAGGATCACCAAACACACCTGGTTTTTCTCATAGAAGATACGTTGGGTTCGTTCAAACTAAATGAAACAAAAGCTTTATTCTAAATACTATCTCGTATAATGACTTGGGTTAATTTTTTGCCACTTGTTTTGAGGTGTTCGGGGTGGGAGTTTGGGGGTGTGGTTTGTTTGGGGGTTCTTTTACAGAGTGCTTTGAAGATGTACTTTTTATGCTAAATGAGATATTCAGTGAATTTCTTTATCAGAATTTGTATCTTAACTTATTTCTGCTAGATTGTAAGGTGGTATGGTGGCTAGAGCACCCAGGAGGATTTAGGGGACCTGCGTTGTACCACTGGCCTGTTGAATCAGTCATTTTCCTTCCCTTTAAATTAGGGCAAAAATGCTGCCTTTCAGCAAGGTACTGCGAGTTGTGGAAGCTGAAACAATGGTTTCCAGAGCAGGGTTATGCTTGCTTTAGCTGCTAGAGTGACTTACTCAGAAGAACGTGGCAAGAAAATTGTAGCCTGTGTAAATTCGCTCCTTCCAAAGAACACAAGATGCATCTTTCAGGAATTTCAAGGTTTGATTTTTCAGAGAAAGGAAAGCAATAAATGTCTTTATAGTCCTCGAAGCCATACAGGTTTTTGCACAAATAATTGTTTTAGTTTGCAGGAAGCTGTTTATACAAAATTCAGTAGGAATTACTCTGCAGCTCTTTCTTACAAAGGAATATCAAAATAAACTGTAACCCCTGAGCTATTTTTTATGGATATTGTCAATAATGCACATCTTACCACATCGCCTGAGAATAAAGTGCTGCTGTTGGTAGAGTTGGGACTGACTTGGTAGGTTTTGTTCCCTCTTACCACAGCAGATTAACAAATGTCATTCATAGCAGTAAATTAAGATTTAATTAGGGCAATGAAATTAGTCTGAGCTTCAGGCACTGGACAAGGGAAAGACACACATGCGGGAAAAATGTACCTCGATCTGAAGGTTGTAGTGGTCCTCTTGGCAAGAAATTCTATCATCAGTGTCTCGGTACTGAGAGTACGCCCTTTGGACTATCAGAGCATAACCTGCAATGCTCCAGAGCAGCAACACTCAGAAAAATACCAGCTTTGATAATACAAGCTTATCTAATTATTTAAAAACTTCACAGTTTTCATAGCATGCAGCTTCACAAACAGTCACACTCCGTGTATCCTCAACTTCTGTCCTCATTGCTCGGTTCTTCCTGGTTTAACTGTAGGTGAAATATAAGCTCCTCCCTAGAGTAGGGTTTTCACAGCGCTTTGTGCTTAACAAGTTGACCCCAGGTTAGGATGGCCCTGTGCTGGTGTGTAGAACAAACATACCTGCTCTGTGGGCTTGCCTATAGCGATACTAAGTGCTTTTTTGGAGCACCAGAGCCCGACTAATTTGTGTTTGGGGTGAGGGGAATGAAAAAAACCCAACCAAACAACAAAACACCGCTGTGTACAGCAGCTGTTAGTACCACCTTGGTCACGTCATCCGTACATCTCCCTGTTTCCACACTAGCGCTGG